CTGCCACTGGGTCATTCTCGCCCCCCCGCTCCGCTCACTCTCCCTCTGCTTCACATTCAAATTAAACGGAGAGGTCGAATTTGTTTCACTCTCTGGCGAGTAGACTTGGAGTCGCGCAGCGCCCAGTTTGAGTGGTGTTTTTAATTTGAGCCGATAAGAATGGGGCGCTCGAAACCTAGACCTAACTACGGTGGACAAGTGAACGGGCCGCAGGAAAGCCATAATTTCACCCAAAGTGGCTCTTTCTCGGGATCCTCTAACCGACTAACTATGACAATCTCGTGCACGGCGGCACCTCGGCCCAGCAAGAAAAGGAAAAAAGAAGCATGTTCCTGACACAGCGTCGGCGCCGCCTGTGGCGGAGGAGGAAGAGGAAGAGGAAAAGGAAGCAGATCACGGAAGGAACCAGGTGCGCTGTTTATTTATGCTGTTGTCCAGTGCATTCTAACATTTGAACCCAGGGAGCGTCGGTCATGATGAAGGCCTTCCTCGCTGTAGAAGACCAACTCAAGGACACAATTTTCTCGACGAAGACGCAGGCGTCTCTCGAAGGCGGGCGCGCCGTCAAATGCGCGTGTGGCAAGGAGGAGGCCAAGTTCAGATGCCCAGAATGCGGGGCGACCAACATGGTGTGTGCCGCCTGCCTGGTGAAGATGCACCCAGACCAGAACTTTCACCACGTGGAGGAGTGGGATGGCTCGGGCTTCGTGCGGACGCCACTGTGGACGCTCGGGCACGAGTTACATCTTGCACACGGAGGGCTGGTGTGTCCAAATGGCCCGAAAAATGAGAAGGGCGGAGTCAAAGAGGGGACGGGGCGAAAGATGGTCGTGGTTGCGACAAATGGAATACATGTAATCTGTGTGTTCTTTTGTTGTTGCGGCGATGCAGGAGCGACCCCGGATTACATCCAGCTGGTGGCTGCGCGTTTATTTCCCGCCACACTAACCGCTCCGGAAACGGTTTTTCGATTCGACGCTCTCAACAACTTTCATGTACACAATCTGATCTCAAAGAAAACCGCCCAGGACTACTATCGCGCTTTGCAGAAATTGACCAATAACGTGTTCCCACACAAAGTGCAGGTAGGAGAGCAACCAAATTGCAGCAAACCAATAGACTAAACGGCCCACAGGATCGGTACTGTGAATTGTTGCGGGTGTACCGTGTGTGGCGCTATCTTGTGTTGCGCCGCCGCACGGGCCAGGCGCAGAATATAGACGCCGTTATCACAAACCGCCGGCCCGGTTCATTGGCTGTGAGATGCCCGGCGTGCCCGGAGGTCGCATTCAACATCGACAAGGCGACACTTGACGCTGTGCCCGCAGACAAAAGGTAAACAAGAACAGCTATTAGAAACAAGCGGTACTTAATGCAACATAGGCACACGGTGACTCTCTTCCTCTCATCAGATGGGAACTTCAAGCTTCAGCGGAAGAGAAAAGTGGATGATCCCGATGATTTCGCTCTGAACAGTGGGAACGCTTACTTCCCTGAGGACACGCAGTACAAGCTTTATGTTTCAGAACTGGGGCCGGAGGACGATGTACGTCTAGGCGTGTTGGGACGTCATGCGATCTTTACTGACAGACACTCAGAAATGCACATGTTCAGAGTTGAAAGCCGTATGCATGCAGAACATCACCAAGTTCAAAAACACCGTGGTTACCGGCGTGGTGGCAGTACAATGCGCTCGTCATGGGTTCTTTCAGCCGGGAGGACTGGTCGATTTGACCATGAGCGAAGGGTGAGAGTACTTATCTGGTGGCATCAACGGATGCTGACTCCAAAAGTAGATATGGGCACACAGATTATGCGTTAGGGCATACGCTGGCCAACGCACATGACCAACGATGGGTTGTGCTGACCTACGACATCTATTGCCAGTTTTACGTAAATATATCGAAGAGGTTCAAGAAGTGGTTTCCCTCACTTGTAGGGCTCATCGACAAGCTGAGCGGGGCAGTGCCAAAAATGCATATCCGGAACCATATCAGGCAGTGTCAATCGCAGTGGTCAACCAACTTCAACGAGTTTCTGGCATTCCTTATCGGCGAATTGATTGAGGGGACATGGGCGGAGATGAACCAGTTCGCGGGGAGCACGAAGGAGAAAAATCATGGCCACCGACACGATAGTTTGGACGATGGAGCAGGGCAAAATAACTGGGACAAGTTGATTGCGATGGGTACGTCCTCCAATTGAACCCCGTTCAACTTCCGGCTAAGATTTGATCAGCGGAAACTCTGCTTAGACTTTATCGGGAGGCGTGCGCCGCTATCCGCAAGCGTTCGCCGGCGTTCGAACAGCTGACCAAATCCACCGACACGAAACTGATCGACAAGTGGTCAGCGATGGACAAGACATGGAGCTTGGTTAATGGGAAGTATTTCAGTCCATACGACATGCAGGTACCCGGTGTTGGTGCTGGTCCCCCACCCATCGGGGAGCGTACGAAAAGCTGTTGACAGAGGAACTGAGGAAGAGTTTGGCGGGCGGGAAGGAACTCGCCGGGAACACCGATTTCATCGCCACGGGTTTACGCATTGAGGCGGAACAGTAAGCACGGGTCAACCCGCTGCGTGGCATTGACTGACCATGATTTGATAGACACCGCATCAAGGTGATCCTGCGCACGAGTACAATCGACAAGGCCACTCGTGCCCGAGCGACCTTGCGGAAGGAAATCATGGCCTGGCGCGTATGGCAGTTTGACCGCTTCCCCAGGCTGCAAAAAGACTTCGTCGGCGGGGATCCAGATGCGCCACAGAAGGAGAAGCTCTGGCTGCCTTCGGAGCTGAACGAACCGGCTAGAGCGGCGTCAGGAATGCAGGAGTTGGCTGCCATCGAGTACGAGCTGCGGAAGGGACAGGTGTACGATGCTCTAGCAGATGTATGGACAGCAATCAAAACCTTCAACTTCAATGTGGCTTTCAAAATCGCGCAGGTTCAGAGGCAATCAGCAAACACGAGGGCGCAGAATTTCCTTCGAACGCTGGCGAACGACAGGCTCATTGCAGCCGATGGATACCGACGCGCGAGGGACGCCCTTCTGCGGCTTGGGCTGTCGCTGACGGACACGTGTCTTTCCGCACTGGCGAACGAGGACCTGTACGCCAAAAACACGAGGGATTTGCCCAAGATGGGAGAAAGCGGAGATGTTGATCCGTGGTTCTGGACAGTAGGACGGCCAGCAAACTTGACGGTGCGCCAGGAGGCGGACTGGAGTGTTGAACTGATCCACTTGGAACTAAGTAACAGAACGGTTGCAGTGGATCGGATCAAATGGTTCCGTGACCGGGCAAACCGGGATCGAGCCGTCGAGCAGAAAGAAATGGTGGAAGCCGAATTTGGCCGCACGATCAAGTCGTTCACGCAGAGCGCTACGGCGTGGAAAACATTGGAGTCTATGAGCGAAAAAAAATCGGGTCGAGCAGCGTACGCTCACTTGAAGGACCTCATGTACACCGAACTTGCGAGGCAGTCAAGGGGGGATCGGGATTAAAATTTCGGATATGGGGACGGGGGGAGGGGGGTCCCAGGGAAGGCTTTAAAAAACTTTTTAAAACATATTTTGTTTCAAGTAATACAGGTATAGAGGGTGCTGGGAGAGTGCAGGAGCCTAAAATGGGTGGTAAATGACCCTCCAAGGCCACAGGGGCTTCGGACTGTGGTTTGAAGCTTCTAAGAATCATAAATTTTGGTCGGAAATAGATGGGTAAGGAATAAACATTATACTTAGAGCACATTGTACCATACAAGAATGTTGAAGAGATTAGTTGCGTGTAAGTTGCGATGACCTTGGCTGGATTGGGAAGCTGTCTATCGGGTGGCGGTGAAGCCGTACATGACTGGGAAGCACGGCCCAGGCTTAGGGGTGCGAATTACCTGCCCTATATAGAAGGACTGGGGGGAGGGGGGTCCTGAGGAGGGCCGAAAAAAACTTTTCGACCCTATATCCGTTTTTCGAATCCCGATTCCCCCTTGGAGGCAGTGCGCTGAGTTGCATGCGAAAGCTCCGGGTCTATCCGACCAAGATCGTCTCGACAAAGAAGCCTCAGAGTTGCTCGAGATGAAGAGGAAAGGGCTCTTGAATACGACGCTGTCGGAAAGCTGGAAGGTGACATTCGATGATGACTGCGTCTGGGGAAATAAACTGACTTTTGAAACAGGATTATCTGCCTGTGATATGAAATTATCCTGACGCTATCCTAACATCTCGTATGGGCCTCAACCTTATGCAATCCTATCCCATCCTATCCCATCCAGCTCGAATTCAACCTTATTAGGTATCTGATCCGATCCTAACGCATCCTATCCTATCCCATACATTATGTGATGGTCCTCTTTTTTTTTTTTTACGTCGGATCCAATCCTATTCCATCCCATCCCATCCTATCCCATACGTTATGCGATGGTTTTCTGTTTCGTTTAGTGCGTCGGATCCTATCATATCCTATCCCATCCTATACATCTGATGGTGCTGGTTTTTTCTTTACTTAAATGTGCATCGTCGAATCCTATCCCGTCGCGTGGACAATGCTGCTGCGGTCATGTTTATACAGCCTTAAATCCTATCCTATCCTATCCTATTCTATCCCATCCTATCCTATCCAATCCTATCCCTCTCCTGTTACCTACGTATTCACTGGGACCGGTATTTTTTGTACAGATTACAGCCATAGATACACATTACATTATCACAATAAGTTAGTAGAAAAAGGGCCTACCAATATATGCATGGATTCATCTCAAACGCCTCCCGAGCTATGGTTAGGATTGATCGTATCTGCTGCGGTGGTCGGCAGATAGGTGGATTAAGTCTCGGTGGTGGACGGTCCACGCATACACAGCATTTAGTTTTACAAACTCTTCTCATGCAAGAGCCGCCCGTTTGGCTCCGGCCCGAGCCATGATTCCTCAATTCCGATTGTTTTCATTTTTCTAGGGTGAGGCAAGATTCCACGCTGATTACTTGAGGAAGATAACAGGTAGAGGAAGGCTCGGTGGTGGATGGTTCACGTCTGTAACAAATGGTAGTTCTGTAGAACTCTTATCATGCAGGAGGCGCCCGTTCGACTCGGGCCCGAGCCATAGGAAATTCTGGAGCAAATCTTTTGTCTGCGACACTGCCGTTTTCATTCCGAGAAAATCAAGTGCAGATAAGGTGGATTAAGGCTCGGTGGTGGACGTTCCACGTCTGCAACAAATGATATTTCCCTCATACAATTGTGCAGGAGCGGCCGTTCGACTCGGGCCTGAGCCATTAGTTGGTCGCAGCTTTTTATGCAATGCTGCCCTCGCCTTCTTTGGAATGAATTCAGGAGAATATAGGGTCGGTGATGGACGGTCCACGCCTACAAAATGTTATCAGCGATAGAAATAACATGCAGGTGTCCGTTCGACTCGGGCCCGAGTCATAGTCATATTGCAGCGACAAAGGTTTTGTCTGCGGGCACCCTTCCTTTCGTCCGAATAAAATCAGGGGTAGGGAGGGTAGAGAAAAGCTCGGTGGTGGGTGGTCCACGCCTGCAATGTATACTGATTTTGCGGTGTAAGATCATGCAGGAGCCGCCCGTTCGACTCGGGCCCGAGCTATACTCGAGTGTAAGATGTTTTTTGTCTGAGGCGTACTTTCGCGCTGATTAATTCAGGTGCAAATAGAATGGTTTAAACCTCGATAGTGGACGGTCCACACCTGCAAAATATACGGTGCATGTAAGAAATACTTAGGCAGGAGCAGCCGTTCGATTCGGGCCCGAGCCATGTCAGGGCGAGATCTTTTTTGTACGAGGTTCCCCTGAATTTTGTCCGGATTACTTCAGGAAAAGAGCAGGTAAAGAACGGCTCTGTGGTGGATGATCCACGGTAGCTCATATTGCAAGAAATTTAGGCAGGAGCAGCTCGTTCGACTCGGGCCCGAGCCATTGCATTTCGGGCGATATTTTTTTCTTGCGCCCCTGCCTTCCGCATTCGGATAAGAGCAGGAGTAGGGAGGGTAGAGAACGGCTCGGTAGTGGGAGGTTCACCTGCAGCAAATAATCGCTCCTCTACGCAATTATCCAGGAGTCGCCCGTTCGACTCGGGCCCGAGCCATGCCGCGCCGGTCGCAAAAATATCTCTTTATGGGGCACCTTCACTTTCGTCGGAATTCACTCAAGTGCAAATAGAGTGTATTAAGGCTGGGTGGTGGATGGTCCATGCCTGTAAATCCTGAGTCTGGTGAAACGAAGAATATGCAGAAGCCACCCGTTCGACTCGAGCCTTGACAGTCGAGCGATCTTTTAGATGCGCAGTATCTGCTTTTGTTCGACTCAATTCAGGTGCAAATAGAGTGTATTAAGGCTCGGTGGTGGACAGTCCACGCCTGCAAAAAATATACTGTTGAAGTGTGAAGGATGCAGGAGCAGTCCGTTCGACTCGGGCCCGCGTCATAAGAGACTATAGGATGTTTTCTGTGAAGCACCCTACTTTATTGTGATTGATTCAATAACACAATAGGATAAAAAACGGCTCGGTGGTGGACTGCAGTGTCTAATCTTGGAATGCGTCGCTGTCCTTCCAGGATACATCATGCAGAGGCACCCCGTTCGACTCGGGCCCGAACCATGTTACGGTTCTAGCGATAGTTTTTTGCGGGGCACCCTTACCTTCGTCGGAATAAATTCACGGAGATAACAGGTAGAGAACAGCTCGGTAGTGAATGGTCTACACCTCCAAAAGCTATGACTTCCCGATACATATCATGCAGGAGCTGCCCGTTCGACTCGGGCCCGAGCCATGGTTCCGCCGCAATTATACAACTTTTTTCATTTCTTTTGTGTGAGGCAAGATTCCGTGTTGATTAATTGTGGAAGATAACAGGCAGAGGAAAGTTCGATGGTGGAGGGTCCACGGAAACTGGATCTTATTCTGACCGGAGGTTTGTCAGGTATGACCAACGAAAGCACGGACCTGGGTGTACGAGCTTGGTCCACTTCTTTTGGTGCAGATCTCAAGGGCGGTCATCAGTTCGGCCGCCGCCTTATTAGGGTTGATCAACGGCAGGCCGGAGGCAAGGCCAGATGGGGGAGTCTGCGGCGCGAAGCTGGAGGGAAACAAAGATGTCGGTGACGTTTGGCGTGTTTCGGAGGATGCTGTGCATAGGCTTTCCGAAGCCGCCTTCAACGCGGAGTTTCTTGACAAACCTGCCGAGTTCTGGGGCGCCCTGCAGAGTCGCTTGCAGGGCCTGGGCTCGGGCCTTGGAGCGGATGATGACAACAGAGTACAGTAAAGGAGTCGCGACGCGCAGCCATGATTTTCAGACGAGAAGAGCAGAAGAGCTTGAGTCGGAATAAGTCGCGAAGGGAGATGTATACGACGATGTATCGGAGAACATATGCTCGGGGACTTTCAGGGCTGGAGAAAGGATTTCGAAATGATTTCATCGGGGAGGTTTTCCCTCATGGCGACCCGAGATAGTGGTGGCAGGCTGGGGCTGAGTGGTGGTCACTGGTACAGAAGAGCGATACGTGACCTTACTCGCTTCAAATGCGCGGGTGATCGCATCACGGGCCGAGTGATGGCCGTCATTCTGCCGTAGGCAAAGTGAAGATGCTGGGTGTTAATAATTCTGTGCCTTTCGCCACTCACTCCAGGTACACCATTTCCGGGAAAAAATTCGACGCAGAATCTACCATAGTACCAAGAGGGACTTGCCGAGAGCGTTCCGGAGCAAAAATTTACGAGTACTTATGTAATCGTTTTATTAATCAACTCCAAATGGGATTTTTCAGGTCTCGGTGAATCGTGTCACATTTTAAGTTTGTAAAGAATTTAGGGGCTGTGCTAGGATATTTTGTGGCTGTGTTGAAGCACATTTAGTAGCTGTCCTTTAAATCCTGTTCATATGTTGTGAACAATTAGTGGCTGTGCCTTGTATACATAATCAGCGACTCAATCTTCGGCTGTGTTCAATTCTTCAAGGTGTCGCTTATTTCCTATTGATGGGCAAGTGTGTCCAGAAATATTCGAGCATCTGCTTAGTAGAATTATTATTAGGGGGACACAGATTACCCCAGTTTCCTGCAATGGACATCTTCAGACCTTCGAAAGGGTATGGCATAGTACATTGTCAAGCTTCACCCGCGGTGCAGTCACCAGGCACCGTAATTACAAATTCTATAATTTGCACCTGCTGGACAAAACAATTCCAAATCTTCTGCTCTCATCGTTTTTATATAACCGTGTCCTGAGACCTGACTCCCTCAGAATGAACTTCTCTTCCTGCACGTACACCGTATTTTGGGATCAATATATGACGAAGTGATGCCGATTTGATTTGCCCGCCTGCCAAACACGCGGTAGCCAACACTATGAAGCTCAACCAGGAGGAAATTCAACAAGGTGTAGGTTGATTAAAGCCTTTCAACCTATGTCTGGAGGATATTAGGTTGATTTGGATCAACCTACATAGTAGGATGAATACACACCTGTATATTTCAACCTATGCAAAGCCTATTTTCATCCATACGCCCAGGCACCTTAGATCAACCTATCATCAGTTCAACCTATTTCGGGGTGATCTTCATCTCACGCTCAGCCATCGTTTTTTCTTAATCTTTTGCCATGCATGGGGGCTGCCATGAAGGCAAGGTTGTGGAAAGTAAGATATACCACTCATAACTCACCTCTTTTTAACGATTGACCTCCAGACTGCAGGTTATCCGGAAAATGCTCCTGTCGATATCTCCGCATTTTGCGGAAGGGTACCGGTTTGTGCCTTACATACTGCAGTGGCACGAATTCTGCGCATCCAGGCAATCAATCAAATGTGTCTAGATGCATACTCTGCACTCAGATTTTATTCATTTAACAGCCTACGGCTGCTATTCGACATTTTTCAGAACGCTCGAGTCCAAAAAAGGAAATTTTCGAATTCACTAAGCAACAGCATCGACGCAAACGAGATTATCCCTCTGACCCCGTGTCAGTTTCCGTCGCATCTGCGTCCGTATCGCTTTCCGTTACAGACGTCTCAGGGTCTTCGCTGTCCACTGCATCTGGATTGATAACTTTTCTCTTCTTCCGCCGCAGCTTCTGTTTCTTATGGCTGCGACTGTCGGGGCTCAGACCGGCGACTGAAAACTTGCGGCGTCTGACACCACTAGCCCCTTCAGCGCTCGAACCGGCTGTCTGAGCCACCGCAGTCTTGCATACAACATCAACCTTTTGAATGCTTATAGTCAAGAATTATACGCACTGTCCCGGTGCTAGTTTCCGCCCCAGCGTTTGAAGCAGCCTCGGTGACCCGACCTTTACGCAGCGCCCGGATCTGCTCCAAGCCACGACCGGGAGCTCGTGTGTAAGGATCCCACTGAATTCCCGGGTTATCCCGAAGAAAAAGGCCAAGCGCATCCAGGTAGTCGATGCCGCTCTCTTTGTCGTGCCAAAAACCAGGGGGATCCTCCGGCTGGCTTAGATAGTGCCAAACAGCATCGATTTCGTCGCCCATATCAAGGCCCGTCTCCGGGTCGGTGAATGGATCAGCAGACCACGGAGCCAGAGGCGGAGAATCGCGGGTAAGGCTGCTCTCACTGTTAAAGATTACAAATGTGGCCAGATGATTCCATCGCGACAGCGATACTTACCGGTCAGCCATGGCCAGAGGTCGATCGTCGTGGATAGAGAGAGAATTTTAAATAATGTGACAGGGCCACTGGTCACATCTCGCGGGCGCACCAGCCTACTAGTAGTAGAAGAAGAATGAATTCATCCGCTGAAGCTTACAAACAAAAAAGGGGAACAGTTGAGAATAGACATTAAATTATTACAAGTCCCCAACCCTTGGAATTAGTTCTCATCCTCTGCCCACACAGCGCGTGCAAGGCTGCCGCTACGATCGATAATTGCCCACTCCCCACCCATGCCTGTCTTGACACGACCTACGAGCGACTGGATGCTGGTGATATCAATCACATCAAGTGCACCGCACTTCGAATACAGGTGGATGTCGAGATCCAAGAGCTGGGGGTCGGCCGGCGCCAGAAGACATGTTCGGATGGCCGCGAGAATGTAAGTTGTTGGTGAGTCTATCCCTAGTTCGGGTTCGGGTT